GATACAATAAAAAATTGGTCAAATAAACTACTTCAAAGCAGTACTGCTGAAAATAAGGCTTTTTTTTTTTTTTAAATAAGCTGTAATAAGAATTTACTTGAATACTGTTGCATAATAGGCAGATAATTTTACTTAACCAAAATTCTTTCTGAAACCATCTTCTTTGACAACAGTGTAAGCAGTAGCACCAACTGCAACAGAATCCTTAATAAAATATTCTTTTTCAAGCCACTTTATAATACCAGTTACCGCTTGCCAGAGATTGTTAAAAAATGAAACAGATAACTGGTACATAATTTAGTTAGAAGTTTTTGCAAAATGGATAGGAAATAAAATACAGAATAAAAATAAACGGGTACTGGACGTTATTCAAAGTGCCCAAATGTTTGACAAATATTTTTGCTTTCTTCAGATATTGAACAACAAGAAATGTTGTATTTTTCAAGAAAAATTTTATTTTTTTAACCAAAATACTCTTGTTTTTTTTTTAACTGTATGTTGAGATGTTTTATTCATTCATTTTTCATTTTGTAATTTATTTAATGGACTTAAATTGTTTTTTTTTTTTAGCTGATTAGCAACGATATTTGAATGTATAGTTATGAATGTCAAAAGTAACTATTATAAGCCATTGGAAGTTGACACCTTTAGACGTAATTATGCCGAAAAAAGTGGGTACAGTTTGAAAAGGAATCAATCTCCGGTTGCAGTCAAACCAATTCTTCATGTTGCTATTTCTTCCGGTGACTGTCTAAAACTGTTACAGCGTAAAACATTTTTAATCTTTCTAAATTACAGTTCTCAGTTAAAACAGCATCTAGCTAGGACTATGTCATTAGAGAGGAGTGACACTATATAGTTGTTAGTCATTCAAACAGAAAAAAAATTTGTTATTTGACAAAACAGAAATTTTTTTTTTCTACATTCGATTTCTAAGATTATTATAAAGACAAAAAAAAAGCTTCATTTAAAGTCTTTTAAGGTACACTTTTTATCAAGTACCTGTAACAAAAAAGAGAACTAAGATACTGGTTAGATACTGGTTATTAGCTTGAAATTAATTTTGTTACAGCTATTAGAGCTTAAATTTCAGTAAAAAATTGCATCAACTTTATTTTTACAATTTCTTTCTGAATTATTTAACGTTTAATAATTGTTAATTTAGCTATAAAGATGTAATTATCAGTCACTTTCTTGAAAAAAAAAAGCATTTTAATCCTACTGTTTTGTGTTTGAATTGATTGCACCAAACAGCTTTGCAGATACATCAACAGATTCAACACATGAGGATCACTATGCAGTACCAGACACCAGACTTCGTTCGTCGGTAATTCCATTAGATAGTCGACCGTATTTGGGTCCACCAGGTCCGTCATATGTTGCTCAAAGCTATTATGACGATTCTCGTTTGTACAATAGAGAAATCCGAAACAAATCGCAGAAATTGAGCTGTGAATTTGATGATGAAAAAGCCACAAGAACCTTTACAAAGCATATTAGCTTTGAGCCGCCAATAATGAAGACAGCACCGAGTGAATTGAAGCAAGTCACCTTTCAAAGAAGTCCAAAGCCTGTGTTCGGTAATTCTTTTAAACAATTGTCTTTAATCTTCATTTTGACACTATTTTTCTTCCATCAGCAGTTCAGTCTATAATTTGTTTTCATTTTCTGTTGCCTTCAATTTCAGTGATTTTTTTTTAACTTAAACTTATGTTTTTAGCCCTATTTTATTGAATTTTTGCAATAAAACTTTACAGTGAAGAAACTGTGTTGTTTTTTATGCTTTGACAGTGCACACCAATGACAACATTATTTTTTCCAAAGTAAACTTGAACTGAAATATCAAACAAATATCAGTTTCGTTACATTCTGCTATTTAAAATCAGAATTAATATATTAATTGAGAAAAAAATCTGAAAAAGTAATCAAATGAGTTTTCACTAGTCAATTTTTTTCAGTCGTTTTAACTACGAAGCAATATATCTCAAATTTTTTTAAAGTAAAAACTTGTAACTAATAGGTGCAGTATAATCTTTACTGCTATTACTTAAAAAAAATAACAGTTTTTTGTTGCTTTCAATATTTACATATATACAAATGCTGTTTATCCAGTAAAACTTTACAAGAAAAGAAAAATTCTTCAAAAAAATTAATGCTAATTTTGTTTCAAAGGTTGAGTAAACAAAAAAAAGTGTTTTTTTTTCATTGTTGTTAACAAGTTAAACTGTAAAAAAGATAAACCTGAAAAAAACCTTGAATTTTATCCTAAATATGTCTCCATTTATAACTTTCAGAACCTTTTTCTTTCATCTTTGTAAATTACCTGGTTAAAAAAATTGACACTTTTAAAATTGATTAGACAAATGTCTTCATTAAATTTATTGTTTTAGTGCTGAAAAGCGAAGACGTTTTTTTTGACAAAGTGCAAATAGTGAACAACGAAAGAGCAAAGACAGTAATTTTTAGAAACTACTTTTTTTGAATACAGTTACAGTAAATAACTGTTAACAAATAGCAATTAATTTGCTGTTTTTCTTATGACTGTTTTTTGAAAAATTTGTCTCTACAAAATGTATACCTTTAATAGAACAGGTAGAAAACAAAAATTAGAGTAACTGTTAAAAAAGACAAAAATTAATAATATTTAATATTTATCATAGTTTTATGAACAGATCAATGTAATTTCTTAACGAATAATAATAACAGTAGTGCTGTAATAAAATGGCAACCGAATAGTGCTATAAAATTGTCATAGTTTTTGGAGATGTCTTTAATTTTCATTGACAATGTCACACCCTAATGATTTTAGCAACAACTGATTTTTGACAGACGACGTTAAAATTTTTATGATTGAAATAATCTATCTAGTTGCTTTGAACTGAAAGTCTAACAAGGTCGGGTGTTTTTGCCCTTTTGCTTATTGAATTACCTTCTCAAAAACCTCAACATTCTCAGCTTTCACTACTCCTTCTAACAGGTCCGTCGGTAATCGTATTTGTTGCGTATATCTATCATTATATCTATGTAACTGTCATCTAATTTAAATCTTCAGCAGCTTTATACCATATGGTTGCTTTCCCGTTCCTTAATAGTACTGTTTTTCTTCTTTTCGAGACCGAAAATTCAGTTACTGATTTAATAAACTCCGTAAATGGCCTATAATCTGCGCGTTTAACGAGTCATAGAAAAATCGAGAGGAGTAAATGCCCTTTTTTTCATATCAAAAAAAATATGCTAAATTTTTCTGTGCTGACTAGGATTAACTTTTGAAAAATGAGAATTTTTTTAGTAAAATTCAGAAAGATGAACTGCAGTAAAGTGTTTTCGTTACCACAGTGTTAATTGTTCTAGGCCTTCTGACATTTTTAAGAAGAATGAGAGAATATATGACCAGAGAACATACCAAATTATGAAAACAGCAGCGATAAAAGACTTCCTTTTTGCTGCTATGCTTAATAAGATGAACTTATAAAGAAGTTGCATAGAATTTAACTGGCTTTCTTAATAACTTTTAAATACAGCTTTTTTCAGGCACTGAAAACTACTTTGTGGGTAAGAGGATTGCAGGCAGAGTTGTTAACCCAAAAACTCCAATGATCAAAAGCTACTGGGAAGCCAATATACAACGAGAGGAAAAACTGAAGGTCATTTTAAACTTTCTCATCACAAAAGCATCACTTGATGGTTTGGTCACTAAGCTTCTTTAAACCAGTAAAGTGAAGCATTTTTTTGGCTAACACAGTTGCTTCTGTAGTCAGAAAAAATTACCATTGCTGAAGTGTTTTAATCGCAGAAATGGGAAAATAAAAATCGTATGAAGTGAAAACAATAGCAAGTTTTTCTGTACACTTCAGAATTTCGGTGTATATAGAGCTAGAACTTTTAGTTTTAAACGGTCAAATTGATTTTGATGACCACTTCGATCATCACATCGCGAAGGCGAACACTTTTTGGCAGTACTTTTTTTATTTAAACGGACTTGCAGGAGGAAGCAAATAACGTGCGACCGAGAAAAACTTTTGGTTTCCCACGGTGGCGTTCTAATGATGCATTATCGGCATCTTTAGTGGCTTCAAAGTCGAACGTAGAGATACCTCGTGATAGCAAAATACCGCAACATAGACTGGAAAAGCTTGAACAAACTGAACGACTTGCTCATCAAACTAAGGCATTCCTAGCTTGTTCTAAATTAAGACTTAAATTTAGAACTAGTAGCTTTATATGCCAGTTTTAGGCAATGATTCATCAGAATGCTGAAACACCAAAGAAGCTTCAGAAAGGCAAATCTTTAGACTCTTTAATGATGCAGTTGGATTACCAGCCATGGTATGACAGAAATCAGATTCGCGAAGCCATAAGTCGTGAATCAATAGCAAACCTTGGAGCTACAAAAGATAAATTTGAAAATGGTGCTCTTATGAGAAGTAAGCTGTGATGAAACGTTGTAATAAGCAGTAAACAGAATATGTTTAACGATTCTGGTGCTCTCTTAAATATATGTAATCTTCTTCTTTTGAAAGCAGCACAAAAGTGCGCCGTGGACTCCTTCTGACACAACAATTTGATTACAGATAACAATCGACATCATGACAGCACTACTTCATCATCACTTTATGATTCACCTATCCAACATATTCAGCTGAAGGTTGACCAACGATATCCTGTTAATTTTCCGAAGGAGAAAAATAACGATTATTTCAAATACGAAAATGGACAATCGTTGGAACCCAAAGAGAAGAACAGCGTACAACATCGGCAGGAGAAACAGGTGATAGTCATTTTTGTCAGTTATACTTAACAGCCTCTGAAAACGATGCACTTTTTTGAAAATCTTGAAAAAATATCTACTGCTAAGTTGATCATTTTCTTTTGGTCAAAATTATAAAAAAGCTGTTATTTATGTCAGCCATATCTGTGTTCAATTTACTTAAATTTATTTTTAAAAAAGCTGAATAATCTCGTCGCTGTTACGACATGCAGAAATTTATTGATGCCAACCGGATATTTCGACAATGAAATATGACCGTTTAAAAAAAGATCTTTTACTATTTTAGTAATGTTTCACTCGTTTTTAGTAATTAATAAAATTGTTTTTTTTTTTAATGTTAATTATTTACAGTTATCTAAAAATTTTTGTTTTTATTTAACAGGTGGTGCAAAAAAAATTACCTGGAGAATCAAAAATAAATCAAAAATTTTCTGATGCTAATCTGACAAATGAACAAGAGATATTTTTGCTGTTTATCAAACAAAATGTCGATTTGGTTGGAGGTACGACATTTAAAACTGTATTATTACAAAGTGAACTCAAGATTACTACTAAAGTAGTTTTTATTCTGTACAGCGAATATATATAGTAGAAAATTTTTTATTTTATTTAAAAAGCTACTCTTTTTTTGTCTAGTAAAAACAACCTCTTTCTCTATAGGCCTTGGTATAATCATACCTGATGGTGTTAAAAATATTATGAATGAACTGCAGTGGCGAAAGGTAGAACTTCGACCGGTTTATGAGGAAGAATCAAGACGCCTAACGGCTGAATTCAAAAGCTATCAACCTCAGGTTGTAATAAAAATTAGGAAACAAAAAAAGAAATTTCTTATATACTTTCTGAAGAAAAGAAATGAGACTTAATGTTTTTTTGGTTTATTGCAAGAAAAAAATTGTTGACTTTCTACGTTTATTCGAAAATGTAAAAAGTTTACAGAATGTACAAGTACAAAACAATAAAAGTGGACGTTATGTAAAAAATCCAGCTGCTGTAAACGGAAATGCTAATCATCGAATTATTTCACGAAAAACTTTTGATATGTCGAACAAACAAATGCCCGAAAATCGTCGTCCAATTATGCAAGTAAAAATTTTAAATTACATTATTGTATATTAGCCAATATGACGGCTAACAAACCATAAATAACAGCACTTTTTATGCTTTACAATTTAAATTGCAATTTAGTAAAGATTGGATTGACGATGAGTGGCTGTAAAGTTGGGCTGCTTAAAAGAAAGAGAAGAAAAAAAAACAAAGTTGAAGAAAAGGTTTTGAAATATATCCAAATTAAATTGTTCAATTTATGCACAAAAAAAAACTTAATTTTATTTCCCCAATAACTTTACTTCTATTATCAAATTTTAAATTTCAATTCAATAGGTATCTTCTGAATTCTTGAACAATGGTCTGTTGTACTGTTAATGCAATTTCAATTTGTCCTAATATTGCACTGCTTTATTTTTATTTTTTGGAAAGAAACATTTGGTTATTTTTCAAATGTTTTTTTTCTACTTCTTCAAACTGAAAGTAACATTTGTATGTAAGGTTTCCCACGTTTTAAGCCTTCTTCGGCTTATATTTTTCAACAGTAACTGTAGTTTATTTGAAAATGAGAACATCTGAGCAATATAATTCAAGACAAAAAAAACCAAGAGGCAACATGCTCTGATAGACACTTCAAACTTAAAACTTTCTATTTATTCTTGTCGTCATAAAGTAATAGCAATTTAATGTTTATGACAAGAATAGTCAATCCATCTGTTCAGTAACAGATATCAGTTTAATGATCGTTTCTTCTTCTAGCACACATTTTTCATTCCTAAACAGGAAACTTTTGCTTATATGTTTTCAAATGATGGAATGATGTCTGTTTGTTGATTTGGTTTGGATTGGTTTGGTTCGTTTAATGGTTTGTGTGTTTGTAACAACTAACAAAAGAAAAAAGTTGTTTTTTTTTTCTCCTTTGAATCGTCTTTTTTTTTCACTGTCTAAACAAACTTCCACAATTCAGCGAAATCGAAAAACGCAAAATTTTTGGTCGCAGTTGCATGCAGAAGATCGAGAACTGTCAAGACGACGATTCTTGGAGATACTGGAACGATACGCGAAACAAACCGAAGCATGAATACGATTTTTTTTTCTCTTTCATTACTGCAAAATCTTTTTCTTTTTTTTTTCCAGCAATATTTTGTGCACACTACCTTAACTTTCCTCTATTTATTTTTTCCTTTGCACCTTCAAGTTTTGTTTATTTCAAGAAAAAGTCGATGTTGCAAGAGAGTGTGAATTGCTCCATGTTTTACATCACCGGTTTGGCACTGTTTTTGCACAATCCCAATTAACTTGCAGTTGATTGGTTATGATGTATGTATTTTGAAAACGGTGTATCAGAAAATGCAAAGACACAGATACAGCAATCAGAAGATAAACACTGTCCAGTAAATTTAAAAACGTAGAAAAAGTTAACGCATTTGTTCTCTGAGATAATTTTCCCGACAACTTGGATGTAATTTGCAACCGTTATAGTGCACTCCCTTAGACCAAAAAAAAAAAAAAAAGACAGCCATTTAAACCCAATAGAACTTTATAAAATACAGTGAAATTTATTCTCCTTCCTATTTCTGGTTCTGCGTTAAAACAAAAAAAAATATTAAAATCAAAAACCAATTCCTTGTTGAAAGTTATTGTTGTTTATCTTGTTTCCCCTATACCAGTCATTCAATAATTGTACATCAATACCATCAGTATCACCGATTTATTGTGTTTCCTTTTTGTTATGTAAATTCCGCATTATTACTTTTACCAATAAAAGTCATTTGTTAAACAACTGGATATTCATTTTTAACACCAAAAATTTTATCACTAATTTCATTCACAATTAAATAGCATGATCTTTTGGTAAAAAAGAAAAGGAAACAAAAAACTGACACCGAAAGTTTAATGTCAAAAAAAAAAAAAATAAAACTAACCATCACAAGACAATAAATAACTTTAGCAATATACAGCTGTTACACTGCAGTAGAATCTGTAGATTACTTGACCTGATGTTATTGTAGGATGTCGACAGAGAGAAAGCAGGTGATTCATTAATTGCTGCCGAAATACGAATGTTACGCGATCGTGAAGAAGAACTCCGCCGGAGCCGCAGCGAACTAGGACTTCCAAATTTGGAAGATACCATCGAAATTTGGAGAAATGGGTTTGTTTTTACCATTTGAAAATATTAAGAAATTCAAAAAAAAAAAGAAAAAAAATCAGAAAAATCAAAAGTAAACTAAACAGAAGTTATGCTAAATAATTATGCTGAGCAAAATTTTGAAACTATAGTTCTAATACGCCCAGCGTCTCATTACCGCATCAACATCTTCAGATATAACAACGTTCGTCCAATAAATCCTCTACGGTCTGCGGTCAGTTACGACCACTTACATCAGGTACCACAACAAATCTCTAAAACTGTTAGCACCAAACACCTTCATCAAATATCCGATGTAAATCAGTGCATTTTACCAGTAACATTCATTACTGATACATCTATAAATTTTCCCTCATAATCATAACTAACTTATGCCGAAATATATAATCGTTTTCAAAAAAAATACTTCAATTAAATTATCACAAACTAAAAAATTTCCGTTGTCTAATCTAAATCCAAAAGCCATAAAAAATCATTACAAAAAATCCATTCAGGTTTCACAAAACGATTGTCAGCTGCAGCAAAACATTAGCCACGAAAGAAATGTTGATGTTCGAACCCAACAAACCAACAGGTTCAACAATACAAATTTGTTCTGAAAAACACCTCAAATGAAGTTGGAAATATTGGTTTTGTTCAATTAAAACCTTTCGAGTTGCCACGCAGCAGTTCTCATAAAGTCCACTTTACATGAATTTCTATTCCAAATTTTGCTAGTAGAAAATTTATATCAAGAAAAAAAAAAAACAATTCCGTTCTCCCCTACATTTTATTGAACTCAGAAGTCCCAATCCACATACTTTGATTGAGAGGTAGAGAAGCCAGAGCTGTAACCGAAGTCAAATTGAACGTCTTTTTGAAATCTTCATTTCCTTTTTTTTTTCCGCTGAGATGACAAACTTGCTATTTTCAAGGAGGACTGGAGAACGTCCAGTTCAAAATGGAGATGAAATTGTAGTGAACATTACACAACGAAGCTCACAAGCTCAATCGTACTCCAGTAACCACTACAAATTGCTCAACTCTGATGATCCGGACGTCGTTAGTGGCATTAAATTTACTAGTTCCTTTTCATATGCAAACAATATATTTAAACCAAATACAACAGTTCAGCAAAGCCAAAACACTAAAACATCAATATCATGATAATAAATAATGAATTATGCATTTAAAAAAGTTTCCAAATCTGTAATTTTAGGTTAGTAATGTGATTAAATGTAAAAAACTTTATTGTTATTTAAGATGATTTATGGTCCAACAACAAGGCGACAAAGTAACTGCACCGATTCCCCAAATCGACTAAACGCGAGCCCAGTGATAAAAAAACAGTGACTAAGAAAACCCTTATTAAATGAACAACCACAGTCCCGTAATTTAACCTTTGTGACACTGCAGAAAAATAAAGAAATACAGAAATGGAGCATTAATAATTTAAATATCTTTAAAAGTTGTAACTATTTGTAAAAATATAGATAAAATGAAAAAAAAAAAAAAAGAACCCAATAGTACCAGTTGAACCACGTCAACATAGACTCTTGTCAACGTAATTCATCCATTATTTTAGATAAATAGTCTATTTCTATCACACACCAGTGCGTTTGACTAACATCCACAATCCTCTCGCCGTTTATTCCGGAACAGTAACAGCCAACATCAGACATCTATCAGAAAAATTTAATGACTCAAAATATGGAAAGAAAAAAAAAATAACTAACAAAACTTACCAAAACTCAAGAATAAGTATTATAAAGATGCAAACACCTAATTAAAACAGAGACGACGTAAAGCTTATGAACTCTGACCTCCCACCTTTTCTAAGGAAGTAAACCAAAAGTCAAAGCAGCAAATGGCATCTGTTTTTCGTTTAATTATTCAAATTAATTAGTTAATGACAGAATATCATTAATAAAGATTTTTCAAAAAAAATCTTTCAGCACCAAAAACAACAAAAAATACTCCACGTAAGAGAATGTTTCGTATATTTCTAAACAGCTGTCGAATTCCACCAATAAAAAATTCCTAGTTTAACTGACTTCTTTAAATAACAAAAATTAAAAACTTCAGTAATTACAAAAAAAACTTACACCCACATTCATTTGAGAAAGACACTTCTTTAGTGAACTCATATCCAATTTTAATACTCGAATTAAATAATCAAACGGCAAGACCAGCCCCTTACACTTGTAAGCGGAAAAATAAATAGAAAGGATGTTAAAGCGTAATTGTGAAACAAGTAAAAGACCGGCATACCTGAAAACTGCTTAGCGTACCGTCTCAGATTATATAAAGAAGTAATTGTGAAACAGTAACAGCAATTTGTAAGGACCCTATCACTGGTATGCTACTCAGAACTGATCGTCATTCATGTATTTCTCACAAACATTTTATTCCCCTTCTTCGAAACGCCTTTGACGTTAAAATGTACAGTAATGATTACTGTGAACGTCATACAGTACCAATAATGGTCAAAATAAACTCCCAAAACTTATCACTTCGGTTTCTATGTCGTATATAGTTAAATGAAAACAATTCGAGTTATCAAATGAAAAATAAAGATAAATTAAGTGAGTAGCAGTAACTTACTTCAAAAGAATCCCGTTCAAGTCTGCTAATATTCGGAAATATCGAACGACGTTTGCCATTTTAAAAGCAAGAATAAGCTCTTTCAAATGAATAAAGAGCGTCGCTGGAAAATTTTTTTTGTAATCATATAACTGATGAATTGACCAAGGCTGCATAGCATTGTATAAGAAATAGCACGCCAAGATCTGAATTGGTCAGTAACAGTTGATATAAAGTTTTCCTTCTAATAAATTTAAAATGCAAAATAAAGTTTCAAGCCTCAGGAACAAGTTCAGGAGAAAATAAAGTGAGAGTCAGATAGGTGTAGATTCAAAGTGCAAAGAAAAAACTAGATAAGTCAAAAATTCTTAACACCGTTTGATTTTTCCCATCAGTGCATTCTTTCCACTGGAGAAAGCACTCCTTTGTTTGCTCATAGTGAAGTTTTCGACAATAAGTGTGACAACCTGAAGTTTCACACCTGGAAGAAAATGTTCAAAATCACTAAATGCTGATGCTATGAAACATTCAAAATTACTTTTCAGAAAACCCTGGCGACTAAGATTTTCAAGAATAACCTGTACTGCGATTCAATGTAGAATGGAATCATAGCTTCCAGCAGCAGCAAACGCTCTTTAGAATTCGTGTTCTGGATAATCATATCTTGACGAACTGCTCGTAAACGATCCACAATAAACTCATATGCAACAGGCCAACTACTGGAACGACAATGCTTCCCAAAGAGCCTAGTAACAAACACCTAAGAATTACTTGAGAAGCTTAAAATTACAACATTTCAAAACTGAGAGGAACAAACTAATTTTCTTCATATCAAGATTAAGAGGCTGATCAAAGACAAGTTTAATCATAAATCCCACTGAAAAAAATCGTAGTACCTGTTAAGATATTCAACTGTCTTTAATAAAACAGAAGGGGGTCTCAGCAATTTCGGCTTATTCAATTCCTGTCCAGCAGCTGACCTTAATTTAGTTACTTAACCTGACATAAAATTAATTAACTTTATCCAAGTATTACTTTACTGATAACCATTTATCAACATTCGAGAAAATAATTACCACAAAATGACCAAAAAATCAAAAAAATTAGTGCCAGGCGAATAATACAAACATTTTTTGTTTTCAGCAATTGACAGTTATCAGGGCTAAAAGATTGTTTACCAACGTATAGGCGGATTCAATCCTAATTTCTACTGGGCGGGGAAACGGTTTTGGCTGGAACGATTCCAGCGGAATTGGCAGTGTGCCACTACGCTATATGAAGGCACCAGGAAGATGCCGGAGAGACTCCGGAAAAAGTACCTCAAACTTCTTTGTC